GACCGTACTTACGGATTCCTTTCGTATACACTTCAGCAAGTGAAATTTTCTCGGACTGAAAAGCTTGTGTTCACAGAGAGGTTGAGCAAGTAATGATGGCTGTGGCTTGTATTCTAAATCATCACAGTTGAACCAGGCACTTAAAAGAGATTCTGAAATCAATTCATAGTCTTCCAGTATATCAGTAACTGCTAATTGGCCTAGCAGAGCTTCCTTTTCTCTCTTAATCTCTGCTTGTAGCTGGTGATTGACAGTCTGTAAAAAGAAGAAACTCATTAATGGAAACTTCTTTATCATTGAATTATACTAAATGTTATGGTAAAGATATGTGCATGCTTAACAATCCAATAAAATAAATCTACAAAAGTTTAAAATCCCTTACCATATAATCCTTTTCAATGTAATCAATCTTCTATCATTAAAGAAATGAAGACTTTTAACAAATAATACTATTTTGTTACCATGCATTTCTCAACACCATACTTTTACTTGGATAAGTTTATATATTTTACTATCTTTATTTCTTTTTTGACCCTTTGTATCATACCCTCCACCTTATCTGTCTCCAACTCAAAAAAAGAAGAAGAAGAAGAAGAAGAAGAAGAAAAGAAGAAAAAGAAGAGGAGGAAGAAGAAGAAGAAAAGAAGAAGAAAAGAAGAAGAAGAAGAGAAATCTGGTTTTACTAAGATAATTCTTGGTTGCAGGCATTCTATATTCAACACACACATACACACATTTAGAGAGAGAGAGAGAGAGAGAGAGAGAGAGAGAGAGAGAGAGAGAGAGAGAGAGAGAGAGAGAGAGAGAGAGAGAGAGAGAGAGAGAGAGAGAGAGAGAGAGAGAGAGAGAGAGAGAGAGAGAGAGAGAGAGAGAGATATATAATAATAATATATATATAATAACAAGAACATCTTAGTAATTCTATTATTATAAAAGTAAAACTGTCACTTGTCACTTTACAATATTAGCATCAGATACATAATACTGTAGCCTATTTATAAATCAGTTGTAAGAAGGTAGGTCATCCTGGGATCCAGCAAATGCTTTTGGTTTGGATAACATGTAAAACCTTTTTCTGCACTTTGAGTGAAATTAATTTGTTTTGGCATTACTGAACCATGGAGTAGCATTCAAGTCAGCTATGATATGAATGACCCATCATCCAGAGGATAAAGGTTATGGTCACCCCATATAATGAAGGGGGATTTTCATACTAAGCTTGGAGGGAGAAAATGTTTTCTATTTTGTAGATGGCCTAAGTGGGAAATACATCCCACAAATTACCAGCAAACTGAATTTGCAAGGCAACCATCAGTGCTGAGTTGTGAGCCATAACGTTTGACACTTGTAAGTGGGTGGACTGATTGATTTTATGGTGTTACATTGGATAGTGTCTTTGATGCAAATACCAACCCTGCTATCTTTTCTCCATTCATAAATTTTGTCATATGAGTGGTATTCTGGGTTGAGAGCCAGGTGACTTGAACATACCATTATCTGGCAAAATGGCTGAGGGCTGAGTGACGTGAACTTGCCGTTATGAGCGAAGGCCAGGGTGATGAAAAAGACTCGCCACGAGTGCACAAACATCTTGGAGTGTGATCTGACTCATTTGGCCCTTAAAAGAGGGCTTTACATTATTCCCACCAATAAATGAATGTGGAATGTAAGGTGCTCCAGGGAGGATACCATTTGCATGCTGCATACTGTTTTCCTGGCCACTATGATTGACGATGCAAGTTGTATGATAGAAAATAAAATTGAAAAAAAAAAAAAAAAATAAATAAATAATAAAATAAATAAATAAAATAAAATAAAATAAATAAATAAATAAACAAAATAAATAAGTAAAAATAAAAAAGATATGACACTAATAACCAAATGTTCCATACTTTATTTTTCTTGCAGTGATTTATTTACTACATAGAGAGATGATATGGTGTCTGTGCAAATAAAATAAGCAATTACCATCTAGATAAAGCAAATCAAAAGATAAATATGGACACTGGAAAATGGCAAAAAGGCAAAAAAAGTTTACACAAAATAAATTTGCAAAGGGAATCAACGAGTCTTGTCACCGCTTATGAGTGTTCAGGTGTGCCCGGCCTATGCACCACATGCCCGGGATGTTTCTACTTATGTAACCCACTGCCTGTATTTTTGGCATGGTGATTTGCATGAGGTGGAAAAACAGAAATGTATAACTGGCTCTGGGAATCATATTTGTGGCAAATAGGACTAAGAACTTTGCTTTGTTAATTTCTTTTACTAATTAGACAGATGGCTCTACAAGCACCTTGTCACTAAAGAGTCAATTATGAGGCCTACTTGACCTCAACTATTTACTCCATTCCTTAAACTTTCAGGAAAAAGAAGAAGAAGAAGAAGAAAAAAATATGATTAACATCATAGTTTTCATTATCAATCATTATATTGTTAATAACAATCATAATGCCACAAAAAAAAAAAAAAAAAAAAAAAAAAAAAAAAAAAAAAAAAA